CCGCGGCGATGCGCGCGTTGGCCTTCGATCGCGCGCTGCTGGGGGCCGGCGGGGGGGCCGGCCATTCAGGCTTTCGCTCGCGCGGCGCAGCTGGCGCGCCAGGAGGAGGCCATCCCGCGCCGCGGTCTGCGATGCGATCTCATGAGCGAGGGCGCCATCGAGAACGCCGACAAGATGGTCGAGCGGGCGTTTCGCACGCAGGGCTTCGATCGAGTTGATGCACAGCGCGAAGCTCGCCCTCAACCACTGGGTCATCCGCTGGGCGGTGCGACTCCCTGGCTGGATTCTGACCCGCTACCTCATCGAGGAAGACGGCCTCGCGCCCTATCGGCTCCTGAAGGGCCGAGCCTACGGCGGAGCGATCTACGAGTTCGGCCCGGATCCAGAATGTCTCGCGCCGCGAGCCCGAGATCCCGCCCGGCGAAGGCCATCTGGGCCGGGAGGGGCAGCCGCGCGGGCGAGCGCCTACTCGCAGCGGCCTCGGGGGGGAAGACAGCGAGAACCACGCTCCGGAGATTCGAGAGTCAGCGGTGGTCGGATGCCCGGTTCAACGAGCTCGCGCGCGCGCCCAGTTCACTCGAGCAGGGCCTGACGCCGCGCCTCCGCGGGCGAGGCGCAGGCGCGTCGCCGCGAGGGCCATCGTCGAGCGCGCGGGCCCCGCGCCCTTGTGCGACGGGCGCCGCGGTCTCGGGCGCCTGCGCGCGCGGGCTCGTCGAGAGTGAGTCGATGGCTTGCTTGAAGCCGAGGGGGAGGGGGGGGGGGGGGGGCAAGAGGCTGCCGCGCGCGCGACAGCTGCTGCTGTCGCTGACCGACCCGCAGGTCAGCAAGGGGAGCGCCGCCGCCGCTGGCGCCTGGACCACCTGCTCCCGAGGCGCCTGCCGCAGCTCCGCGGGGGCCTGACTCGCGACCGCCGGTGGCCGCAGACGGTCGAGAACGGTCAAGGAGGCCGGCGGGCTCGGCGCCGACGGTTCCAGTCGCCCAGGCCGCCCGAACCCGCGCAGGATGGCACTCCAACGTCGGGCGCGGCGTCGGCTCCGCCGGGCGCCCAGGGCGGGGAGGAGCTGGGCATGATCGGGGTGGGTTAGGGCTCCGTGCTCGTGGGCAGGATGGCCAGGCACGAGCAGAAGATGATCGCGTGGCTCTACATCAACATGGCCGCGGCGAGCGTCGCCCCGGCGTGCGACCTGGCCCTCGCCGACGCTGTCGCGGAAGAGGCCCGGGCGGGCGGCTGCGCTCGCGAGGTCATTTGCTTGGGCGAATGTGGCGCGAGGCCTGGGGATAATCCGAGGCCCGCGCTGGCAAATTCGGGCCGCGAGAAGGAACGGATGCAGATGGGCGAGTTCCAAATCGCGACACGGCTCCGATGCACCTAGCTAATGGCAAGCGCGCGAAAGGCAAATGGGCCGACGACGACAGGTGCAACGAGAACGGCGAGGAGTCGGTGAGGTCACGATTCGCGGCCGTGCAGTTTGCCTTGGGCGCGGGGGGCGACGCCTGCGCGGGCTCGCCGCCGCTGGCGGCTCTTCGTCTAGTTGCCTCCTCCGTTGCGAGCCTGTGCTCCGCGGGGCTAGGTTGCGACGGCTTGCTGGCGATCTGGGGCGTCTCTGCAGCCGTCTTCCACGCGCGCGTCGACGAGGACATCAACGTGGTGCCGCCCCGCCAGGAGCAGCCAGCTTGGATCGTCTTCCAGCTGAAGCTGGCTTTCTACTGGACGAGAAGGGCTCCACTCTTTCTCCAGAACCTGATCATGGAGGTCACGGAGAAGGGGGGCTCCGGCAGGGCCGAGGTGGCGGCGCTACCGCAATGAGCGGGAGTTGCCGGCCGTCGCCCGCGGCGGCGATTTCTTGGCTGGCGGTCGTCGGGCCGCCCTCAACTGGCTTGACGAGCTGGTCAAGACGCACTTCCAGGTGAAAGTCGCGCCTCGCGCGGGGGGCCCGCGCCAGGGGGGGGCCGGGTCAGGGAGTTCCCCATGGAGGGCGGCGACCTGGCGCAGCGAGGACTTCGGCATCCAGCGCGACCGCATTCGCGCCATGATCGCGGCCAGCCCCATGCTTGACCGAGAGGCGGGAGGGAGGGGCGTCGCGGCGCGCGCGATCGCGCCCTCGCCCGAGACGAGTGGGAAGGACTGCAGGTGATCAGCCGACCAGCTCGCCAACGAGCACGCGGCCACTACCGCCCGTGGCATGGCGCCCACGGCGCTGCACATGGCCCGCAACCGCGTCGAGATTCAGCAGGCCGCGGGGCACCTCATTAGGGGCATGACAGGCCCGACCTGGCACCATTGATTCCATCTCCAGCAGTTGGCGAGCTACCTGGGGCGGCATCCGCAGCTCGAGCTGCCCGGTTGCCGGCGCGTGCCCGAGGTGATCGCGGCGGAGGTTGGCGGCGCGTGGGCTTCGGAGCCCAGGAGGAGGTCCGTCGACGAAGGCTTCCTGCTGATCGGCGCGTGCCTGATCGACTGGCGGAACCGGCAACAGGGCCGCCGCGCGCCGAGCAGCGCAGAGGCGGAGTTCGCGGGCGCAGTCAAAGGCTCGGCCAGGGGCATCTGGCTCAAGAGCGCGCTGCTGGAGAGGGGCTTCGAGATGAGGCCGCAGGTGGACGCGGGCAGCTCTGGGGCCGAGGGCGTCGCCTCGCGTCTGGGGCGCGGGAAAGCGCGCCGCTTGGAGACGAAGTGCGCATGGGGCGCAGGAGAAGATCAGGGGCAGTATGATCGCGATGTCGAAGGTCCACGCGGACGCGAATCGGGCGGACGCGCAGACCAAGCCGCTCGAGGATGCCAGGTTCATGACGCCGTTGGGGGTGCTGATTTCGGGCGCCGTCCTCAGGGCGCGCCCGGGCGTTCGGAGTCTTGCTGGTGACGTGATTGCATGCAGGAGTTGATTGCGTTGCGTTGGTGTTGACCGTCAGCCGCGTCGCGATGGAGTTATATGGCAGGCGGGGCAGGCGTGGGCCACCGCGCTGACGGTGATGTTTGGCGCGACCTCTGCGGTGGCGTTCCACCGTCCGCATTTGCCGGGCGCTCGCGCGATTCCTGAAGGTTTTCTGGGAACTCGCGCGCGACAGCGACGAGCTGGAGCCCGACGCATGGAAGCAGCCAGTTCTGCGGCAGAAGTTTGCCCTCGCGAGCGCGGCTGCGAGCGGGCAGACGTAGACCTCTCTCACGAAGAAGTACGGGGGGTGGGGCCCCGTGGCGCTTAGCGACGCGCGCGTCGAGCTGGTGGCGCACCACTGCCAGTTAAGGCGCAGACTATCCAAGACCTGGTCATGGGCCAGGTGCGGGGGCGAGCAGCGTCGTCGAAGCGCCGCCCTTTTCTCGAGGCGAGAAGCGCACAGTGCCGCGCGCTGCCCTTGCGCAGATTCTCTCCATCGCGGGCGCTTGTGGGCGTGATTGGGCATGCCCGGCGTTGAGGCGATGGCCTTCAGGGGATAACTCGGTAGTCTCGATGGGGACAGATTCCATATCGAGTTTCGCAAGAGTTTGGTTTCCAGCATTGTTTCGATCGCAGTGAAGTGGGCCCCGGGCGACTGCAGCACAGCAGAGTTACCCCCCGAAACATATGATGTAGACATCTTAATGCAGCATTCGTGTAGAGGGACAACCCTGTTCAGGACCAGTAACTCCCATAATCATTATGGTTTTAGCGCCTTGTTGTGAACCTATCATCCATTTTCAGGATGGCATGAGCACGCTTGCGCGTGTGGGTGTCCTCGCCGAACCCCAAACATATTAATTACGTTGGAGCCGGGGCCCCACCGCTCCCGCGCATCCTACCTTGCCCAAGCTCCGAGTACAGTCTGTTTTATAAGGTGAAGGTTTATAGGCGGAGCGCCCTGGTCTCGCAGAACGGTGCTCCCGCTGTATGGTTGATTCCAGATTTCAAGATCAGTGCTCTGCTTCTGCTGATCAGACTGGCGATCTCGCCACAGCGTGGGCCACCCTTCTGGATCCGATGTTCCATTCGTCGTTGTCACCCTCGCCTTTCCATTCCTCCGCCTTCCCCTGATCCTCCTGCCCCTCCCGCTCCTCCTACTACTGTTCCTGCTGCTGCTGTTGCTCCTCCTGCACATTCCTCCTCATCCGCCTCGTCCTCCTCCTTCCCCATCCGCCTCGTCTTCCACCTCCTCTTCCTCCTCGTCCTCCTCTTCCTCCTCGTCCTCCTCTTCCTCCTCGTCCGCCTCTTCCGCCTCGTCCTCCGCTTCCTCCTCCTTTTTATTCTCCTCTGGCTCATCTTCTCTGTGCATGCGCCATTTTTCCTTGTGAGTGTTGGCATCGGGGTCCACGGTTGGCGCTACATTCCGCCACCCCTCCGTCCTCCTCTTCCTAATCCTCATCCTGCTCCTCCTGTTCCTCATCCTCATCCAGTGTACACAGCTCCTCTTTCCTGATTGCGCATCACACGTTTGGCGCATTTTGGGGATGTAGGTCGCGCCCAACGCCGTTGGAAAAAAGGATAGGAGGAATGGGTAGGATGTCGTATATTGCGTGCGCGCACCCAGCTTGACCTTCTCTTTCTCCCTCCTCCCTTTTCCCCCCTTTTTCATCATTTCTCCCTCGTGCTCCCCCTTCAACCGCGTCTCTGACATCGTCGTCGCCGTCGCCAATCTCGTCTTCTGCGGCAGTGGCACAGGTATGTAGTTGCAGTGCATTTGGCATCGATCCAACGCCCTGAACTCTTCACGAGTCCGATCCGACCCGATCTTGTACATGATGGTACTGCGATCCACGCCGCTGCTGCGCCTGCTCTCTCCTGGTCCCTCCCTCCTCCTCTGGCTCCTCCTCCTCATCCTCCTCCCTTTCTCCCTCCCCCTTCTCCGAGGCGGCCACTTGTATATATCGTGGAGCCTCCGTTCCATCAGCTGGGGAGCTGGCCCTTCTCGTGGCGGGTTGCCCTGATTCAGGACTGAGGTTTCAGGGCACGAACGAACCAGCCACAACATGTGAGCAGCATGTCGTGACAGGGGAGCGGCCCTCCTGCCCCAGCCGGGCCCGTGCGGCGCAGGTGCTGCGCCGGGAGGTGGCCGTGCCCCCCCACGGTCCGGAACCAGACGCCCGCGCCAGGAGGGCGCACCTTTTCGTGTCGTCTCCCCGCCCATCCCCCCGAGGAGGGGAGGTCAGAGAAGGAGGCAGAGCCGGTGCCGCTGCCCTTCCCTCGTCGTCACGGCCGGCTTCGCCTCGCAGCCTCCGTTCGAGTGCCCCCCCCCCGAAGAGGTCGGCGGAATGATTTTTGTAGGGGTCGGCCTCCTCGTTGCTCCCCCAGGGGAGGAGGGGAGGAGCGGGATCGGGTCGAGCATCGGTGGGCCGAGTGGGGCCCCGAGGGAGGGGGCCCTCTCAGGGACGGGGGAGGTCCTCGCTGCTCCCCTGGAGGAGGAGGGGAGGAGGGGGGATCGAGCATCGGTGGGCCGAGGTGGGGCCCCCGAGGGAGGGGGCCCTGCGAGGGGCGGGGGAGGCGGTTCCAGGCCGCATGGTGCGCCGCTCCAGGCCGCCGCTCGCCCGGGGCCCCACGTCGCGAGTCCCCACCTCTGGAGTGCCGAAGGTCAGCCACGCGCAGAGGGGGGGCGGGGGGAGGGGGGAGGGCTAGCTTCTCAGAAGCACCCCTGCTACTTACGAGGGCGCGGGCCGTCTCTGCAGATGCAAGGCCGGCGCCTTCTGAGAAGCAGCCTCCTTCTGATGAAGCCCTCCCCCCTCCCTCCACCCCTTTGTGCGCGCCGCCAAGAAGGGATCGAGGGTCAAGGATCCGGACTGAGGGGCATTTCTTGCCGAGGGTCGAGGAACGAGGGTCGAGGGTCGAGGAACGAGGTTCGAGGGCCGAGGGCCGAGGGTCGAGGGCGTTGAGGGGCCTTTTTGGGGGCCTCCGCCTCCGGGCGGTTTCTCGTCTCGCGGCCAGGTTCCGCCCGGGCGCCCCCCTCTGGGGAGGTCTGGGGCCTGGCACGAGATGTGCCCCCCCAGGCTGGACCTGAACGGTGTTTTGGCGAGTTCGTGGGCCGTTCTCGTTTCGATTTCGTTTTGCGGTAAAGGCGAATCGAAGATAAATCGAGGGAAAGCGGAACCGAAACGAAAAGGAAAACACCGTTTAGGTTCAGCCCTGGTGCCCCCCCGGCCGGTTTTTCATGATCCTGCTCTGCAGGGGCACGGTCGATTCGTGCGAGGTCGACGCGGCGGCGACCCCAGCGCGGGCATTCGAGGTTGCGCCGCCAGTGGCCCAGGATCGTCCAACATGCAGCGATCTGGCGATCGAGAAGCCGCCCGTCGTGCAGTGCTGTACGGTTCACGCGTTGTCAGAATCAGCCACGCGCAGAGGGGGGTCCGTAGGGGCAGGGGGAAGGCTTCACTCCTGCCTCTGAGAAGTCTTGGGCCTCACCTGCAGACGTGAGGCCCGCGCCTTCTAAGAGGCAGCCTCCTGAAGAGCCTCCCCCACCAACGGAAACCAACGCGGGGTCCGCCGCGGCACGCGCTTGCCGGAGGGCCAGCTCGTGGCTGCCTGCCCGCTGGCACCCCGTTCGCGGGCACGCCGCGGCAGTTTCGTCGAGGGCGGGCCGCTCGCCAGACTCAGGAGCGAAAGAAGGAGTTGCAGTCCGGATCGATGATACGGACGGGTCACCGTGCCGAGGGTACCACGAATCCGTACCTCCGTGGTCCATCCTTGACCACTCTCGATGTCCAGCTCCGCTCGAGAAGCTTCGACGCGGGCGTCGGAAGGGCTTGCATCCTCATCGCGCCGCCTTCTTATCAGTGTTGACTGTGCATGAGTCCACGTCAGTTTCAAGAGTACGCGTTGCACGAACGTTCGTAGCACGCGGCACGCGGCTGGTCTCGCGGACCGGGGGGCCGTGCTCTTGTGCGTGGCTGGGCGCGTACGTCCCCTGTGGGCTCCCTGCAAGCCTCCGACCCCATCACCGTAGAGTCGGGAGCGATATACGGATCGTTTCAGGGGCAGCGTCAGGGGGCTGCAGGCTCAGGGAAGAGCGCATGGACCCCTGCAGTCGCCCATCCGTTGCCGAGCCCCGCCCTGAGGGCCCGTTATAAGTTATATCGGGGGGCATCCGACCCCACAGGGACCACTTCGATGCGATCGATCCGATTCATTAGCGATTCGGACCAACCCGATCCGATTCCGATGTTCCGACGGTCTCCGATTCGATTCCGACTCCGTGCCAATGCATTCCGATCCGACGCAAGCTTCGAGCCGGCGATTCGACGTTGACTGTTCCTGCCCATCATCGGCCGAGTTGGCACCTTTGCTGGCAACGAGTCGGCAGCGATGCAGGGGCGCACGTGCACATTAGCTCGCGTGGGTTTCGATCAGGGGCGGCGGGGGTGGGTGTCGGAATTCGTGGAATACTTGGCGAAATCCGAACCCTACCTCTGCCTCCCATCGACTCAGGAACGTCGATGGTTAGTGGGGGTAGGGGTTCGGGTGTCTCCACCTGTTCTAGTGAGCAATTTGCGCGGGTGAAACATGAGGGGAGGCCCACGGCATGTGGGGGCATGTTCGTGCAGAAAGGTTGGTCGCGGACCTCCGGTCTCCCGTGCGGGGGGCCTTGCATCATTGTCCACTTCAGCAGCGGCCGCGCCGCCCGGCTGAGGGCAACCGGTTTCGATCGAGGTTATGGCTGCGCTTGTCGCCACTGACGAGGCCAAGACATTCTCCCCGCCCGGGAGCCTCTCCATAATAGAGGCCTCCCAGATGAGGTCCGAGTACATCGGGTCGGAGGATCGTGCCGCAGCGCCGATGCATCGGCGAAGTGGATCCCGATGTTCTCCACGCCGACGTGGCCGAAGCATCGCCGATCGATGCATTGCCCATGCATCGGCGATACACTGGCGATGCCGCGCGATCTTTGACCCCATCTACTCGGACCCCATCGTCTGGGAGTCCTCTACAGGATACGGTCCGTATCGTGGCCCACTGCGCTACAGTTGAGGCCCACCTTCGCGCTTGACCGTCGAGCTCCTCCTCCCGGCCACTCGCGCGGTGCCATCCACCGCGCCGAGGCTGCAAGACCCCCTCAGGGCGGCGCGCCAAGCACCCTGAGGCTGGCTGCGGCCCGGACGCGCCGCCACTCGCGGAACCCTGCCGCCGAGCGGCCCCGTGCGACGCGTGCACCTTGCCGCTGGGGCGCTCCAAGGGCTAACCACCCTCTGGGCTCTCCGTTTCTCCACCCCCGCCTTCCCGTTCCAACCGTCGTCCACGCGTTCGACCGCCCTTCCCACCTGCACCAGCCTCGACCCCAGAGACTCACCGCCCGCCCCCGAGGCCTGTCCCCCCCTCCCCACTTCACCTCGTCGCGTGCTTCTCTGGGCCTGGGCTTCCTCTCTGGCTCGGCGGGTCCGTGCTGCGGCCCACTGCGCTGCCGTCGACGCTCAGAGGTGAGCGTGGCACTCCAGGATTCCCTCCCGGCTGCTCGCGAGGCCCCGCGCCATACGCCTCGGGAGGAGGGCCATCCAAGGGCAGGGGCCCTCTCTACCTCCAACTGTGCCATCGTGTTGCCTTGCCCCCCCCCCCCCCCCCCCCCCCCCCCCCCCCCCCCCCAGAAAGCAACCCGCCGCATGGGCCCCGTCCACCCTCTGAGACGGGCTGCCATTTCTGGTGGCTCGGGCGTGACTACGGCCCGTCGTGCCCGCTGGGGACACTGCTGTCGCTCGCGCGAGCCGATCGCCAAGCGGCCCAGTCCGCTGGGCGCAGCTAGTTGCTGTGTCCCTCGGCAGATTGACCACTCGCTGAAGCTCCGCCCTCAGCTCCATCCCTTCTTCTCAACACTCGTCTGCCCAGGCTTGTCCGCTGATCGGTCGGTTCGGCCGCTTTCCAGTTCGTTGGGCTGCTGCGCCGCCGCGCTCTTCTGGGCTGCCTGCTTTCGCTCCGTCGGTTTCGATCGGCTTCGGTTTCGCTGTCCGTTTGGTCGGTACCCGGTTTGCGGTGGACGGCTTTGTCTGCCCACGGTGCCCGCAGAGGGGCATCGCCGCGACGTTGCCCGCCGCTGGGGGTGCGGCAGCCCGCGACTTCGGAAGCAAGCGGGCAGCGCAATCTGCCTCTGCCACCCGCTGCCTGCGCCAGCTGTCCAGAAAGGACGGCATAGACTGCTGTTTCGGAGGGAGCAGGCCGACATGCCTTCCCGCGGGCGCTGCAGTCAGCAAAAATCGTCCAAGCCGGCCTAGGCGTGCTCCCTGGGCCTCCCGGGGCGCTCCAGGACGGCCCAAGACGGCCTCAAAAAAGCTCCAAGACGTTCCAAGAGAGGCGCTAGACCACCCAAGAGGGCCCAAAGAGGGTCCCAAGAGTGCCCCAGAGAGCTACAGCACAGCCCAAGCCCCCCCTTCGGGGCGTACGTAGCGGGGGTCAACGCTCACGGGAGTCAGCCAGTCTCCTCCGGCTGACCCAGGTTTGGAGTCACGTGGGGCCGATTGCCCCCCCCTCCCTCCGCTGACACGGTTTTGGGAGCTACAGTGTGTGGTTGGCAGGTGTCCGTGATATGGCCTTGTCTCGCCCAGGTCAGCGTTGATCCATCAGCGCGTTCCCGACCTGTCTTTTTTTCTTCAGCTCCGCTCCAAGTCACTGGTGTCGAGTCTCCCTGGTGTGATTCTCGATGGCCCTCTGATGCGGGCCGCCTGTTGTCTCGCGTTGGTTCTTTCCATGTTGTCCTTGATTATCCTTATTGACATGCGCATCAACGGGTGGCTACGGGGACAGGAGCATGATCATGAAGCTACGTTTGCAACCGCCATCACGTACAGTATAGTGGACATTCTTCGGGTAGGTTTCCGAGCGTGAGACCATCAACAACATACAACATGTGTACGCAATGTGTCGGACGAGTGCCTGCATATCTTTCTGCATAATTGTGCGGCTCCCATGGCTGCCTGTTTCCACTCGCTCGCGAAGCCAGCTCGGGGGCTCTACGGATAAATCTGACGCGCACGGCGCGGCAAGGTCTTGGACCTCGCCGTCTTGCATGACCACGTGCGTTTCTTTGTACAGCAAACTGCGTCCGCAAATTCGAAGACTCCATGAGGCGTCTCACCGTTGAAAGCGTGCCTGGCTGCGCTAGGCCCTTTCGGAAACGCGTGAGGCCTGTTGTATTGTTCCCGCTTTTGTGGCGCTTTTGCTACCTCGACGGTAAGCGGGACCTTGTGTGCCTCCTTTACCTTGTCTTCCCCCATTCCCCATTCCCTCCTTCTCTCCCAGGAGGAGGAGGAGGAGGAGGAGGAGGAGGAGGAGGAGGAGGAGGAGGAGGAGGAGGAGATGAGGAGTGGAGGAGTGGAGGATGAGGAGGAGGAGGAGGAGGAGGGAGGAGGAGGAGGAGGAGGAGGAGGAGGAGGAGGAGGAGGAGGAGGATGCCCCTTGCTCCTAGTTTTCCCTCGTGGCGTTTCGCCAGAGGGGCCTCATAGTGCTCTCCAGAGCCACGGAGAGCTCCCGCGGCGGGGGGGGGACGGGGAGCCCCAGATCTCGCCGGCCTGGCGGCCGCTTCGCCCGAGACCAGGAACCGTGCTCTCGATGAGGAGGAGAAGGAGGAGAAGGAGGAGGAGAAGGGAGAGGAGGAGGAGGAGGAGGAGGAGGAGGAGGAGGAGGAGGAGGATGAGGAAGAGGAGGAGGAGGAGGAGGAGGAGGATCGCCGCAAAGCCGGCTGGATTTTGGGACTGGAGCTGCGAGGTTTTGAACAGGGCCCACTAGAACTTCAGTGCGACTCGGTCCCGTTGTTCTCTTGTGGCTATCTGTTCTTCCTCATCCTCTCCACGTTTCGGAGGTTGATAGACCTCCTACCCTGACGCGTCGATAAGCGAGTTGGCCGTTTGGGCCGTCATTTTTGCGGGTCCAGGTCCGTCGGTTTCGGTCCTAGGCCGTTTTTACTAAGGGGTGGTTTACTAAAGGGAGGTTTGCCCACCGCCGACTGGTCGTGTTCTTCCAGGTTCCAAGGTTCGTTCCGTTGCTCCCGGTGCACAGCGCGACCCCTGCTGGCAACATTTTTTGGGGGTCTGGACGGCCACCGCCCCAGGTCCCTCAAAAACATGCCGGGGTGCACACGGCCGTGCCCTCACCCGTGCGCCCCGGTAGCCCACCACCTGCTCCTCGACGCGCCTCTCTGCCCCTGCTCCACGGGGCGGCTCGGCCGCGATGGTTTCTCCCCCCCTCCTCCCACGGCCGTGCCCTCGCCCGTGCCCCCTGGAGGCCGACCTCCCGCTCCTCGGCCCGCCTCTCTGCCTCTGCTCCGTGGGGCTGCTCGGCCGCGATAGCTTCCCCCCCCCCCCCCTGATGGGCTTGTTTTCCACCACCACCATGGATGAGGGGGATGAAGAGGAGGAGGAGGAGGAGGAGGAGGAGGAGGAGGAGGAGGGAGGAGGAGGAGGAGGAGGAAGAGGAGGAGGAGGAGGAGGAGGAGGAGGAGGAGGAGGTTGTGGTGATGGTGGTGGAACACAGGCCCATCACCCCCCCCTCTTCAGCGCGGGGCTCTTGCCGTCTCAGCAGCCGAGGCCCGAGCAGCCGTCTGGGCCCCGCCCCCCGCCCCCGCGCAGTGCCCGCGATGCGACATGGGCGGCGGGGGCGAGAAGGGCAAGGGCGCGAAAGGCAGCCGGGGCAGTCACAATTTTGGCGGTTCTAGGCCTCCCAGACTGAGTCCGAGCAGCTGGGGTCGGAGGATCGCGCCGCGTCGCCGAATCGCCGAAGCGGTTCGATGGGGAGGCCTATTTTCTCGCCGACGGCGCCGATAGATCGTCGACGTCGCCGTTGCATCGGCGATGCAACGGCGATGCATTGCCGATGTATCGGCGGGCTCAGCGCCCCTCAGGTGAGTTGATTCAGAAGTGTCCAGCACAGTGTCTACGGCCTCGAGTGCTCGAGATCCGTTGATCGAATTATGAGAGGAACATGCTTTTCTATTGGGAGCTGGCGTGGATCGTCAACCTGATTCCTTCTGGGACCTAGAGCCTTCGAAAGTAGTTTTGATGTCAAACTTCTCCAGAGTGCACACAGCTTTCAATCGCCACAAACGTTGAATCATATATGTTTCAATGTGCACCCGAAGTCGGCTTCGGGAAGCGAATCGACAGGAAGACTGCAGCCACAGAGAGAACGACCATAGTTGATCGAGCATGCATCAGCGATGCGGTAATATGCCCTCCCGTCCAAAGTCCCCTGGTCGTAAGTCCTTGCAGTCTTTTTGTTTCATTGCGGGGAGCCCCCCCCTTGAATTACGAGCACCCTGCTGGCCTGCCCCGAGGAACGAAAAAGGACAAGAGCGTTATGTCAAGTGTCCAGCGAGAGCACCGATTTGAATAGGGGCCGCCGTCCATCCGTATACATATATACATATATGTACACATGTTTATAGATACACGTACGTTGCACAGTGTCTCGCGACAGAGGCCGTGTTGCCATGACGGCTCCAGCAAGAGTCACATTTGGAACAGGAGTTGTCATACATCCTTGCAGCTGGCGCACGACACGTAATCATCCAGGAAGTCAGGACGTCTCAAGCGAATGAGAGTCACACTTTCGAAAAAACGCAATCCA